ATTGATTGATTGATTGATTGATTCTTAGTGGGGGGTTCGACTCCCCCCCGCGAACACACACACACACACACACACACACACACACACACACACACACACACACACACACACACACACACAAACAAAAACAAAAGTGACAATGTATATTTCCATGTTCTAGCGGTAGACTCATTCAATTTTGCTTTTTTTTTTTCTCTCCTTTTTCCACCATGAAATTTTTTCTTGAAATTTTGTAAAAAATATTAACGTGCCCCTCGAGACCCCTCCTGCCATCCTTGGGGGTCAAACCCCCCTCCTCCCCCCCGCACCGGGCCCTGGCACGTTCGGACGGAGACCGTCCGTACGCCTGTACAGCCGTTCGTCCGTCCGTACACACGGGCCGTACGGAGACCCCCCGTACGACGTACGGGGGACGACACTGATAACCAAGAAAGTTGCTACTCTGGTCTCCCTTACATGGGCAGCTCTTGGTTAACTGAGGACTAGACTCATGGGTAATGGCCCAGTGAGATGGGACTATTTTTTCTCTTGCTCCCAACTTGGCCTGCCTGTGGTTGAAGCGGAGACCAGTACCATCGTGGTGATGGCAACTAATGGGATACATTGATTTTACAGTACTCGTTCAGGCCCCATATTTTCTTCTTCACGCTGCGGTCAGGGCAGGGCGTTTCTTGTCGTTTCTCACTTTGTTGAGTATTTAGTTGTGAATGTGCATGTTGAAGGTGGGGGCGGGAAGGTGAAGGGGGCAGCACACAGGGCGTGTAGGTATGTGGAGTGTGTGTGTGTGTGTGTGTGTGTGTGTGTGTGTGTGTGTGTGTGTGTGTGTGTGTGTGTGTGTGTTGTCATATTCGCTATACACCAGGGTAGTCACGCCGACGGTCGGGGGCCCCAGACCCGTCGACTGCCGACCAGCCGACGGTAGGCGCCGTCGGCGCCCACCGGTCGGCGACCAGTAGGCACCCCGCCAAAATATATACCCGCATCCTTATGACAGTTGTCCTATCTGTCGTGAGGGTCTTACTTAGACGTACCTTGCACCCTGACAAAAATGTGCAGGTGCGCTGAAAAGAGTCTACAAGAATGTGCAAAGGTGGGGAACCCTTCACTAAAACTACAAAACTGTGAAGAATGCAGTAAAAGAAGAACATAAGTTTGTGTCATCTTACTTTGTTTGTACCCTGCACCCTAACACCCTCAAAAGAAAAGTCCGAAGGGTGAAAATGAAGATGAAAAATGAAGAAGGAAGTGCAGGTGTGCTGAAAAGCGAACGTGGTAGACTCTTCACCAAAACTGCAAAACTGTGAAAGAAAGAAGAATGCAGTGAAAGAAAGAAGATGTTTGGGTCACCCTCTGCCTATCGGTTTTCCTTTTCTGCTCCTCTCTTCCTTGTGTTTAACACCTCTTCCTTCACTCTGCCTCTTTCCCAGAGCGTGCAAGTGGGCTGTTATGGCATACGGGGATGGGGGCAGCTCACACTCAACTTCATCAACATGGCGAGCCTTGTACGTTAGAGGCATAGTGGAGGAGGCGTTAAGAAGACTGAGAAACTGAATGATTTCAATGTGTCTTTGTTTTTTATTTTTATCCTTTGATTCAGTGTAAATTTTGTTTTTGTAAAACACTGAAAGAAATAATAATACTGTGAAACAAAGAATAAGAGGACACTGTTTTGTGTCATCCTGGTTTATCTGTCTCTTTGCCTGTCTGTCCTTTCAATTTCTTTTCTTCGTTCATCTTATTTCTTCTTCTACTTCACGTGCTTACTCTCTTAGTCAATAGTTCTGTGACAATACACAGCCCCTCGTTTGTTGTCCTCTTCTCTCTCTCTGCCTACGGTTTACCGGGCAGTTCTGTTTGTGACGATATATATATATGACGATATATATATCGTCAAATAGAACTGCCCGGTAAACCGTAGGCAGAGAGGGAGAAGAGGACAACAAACGAGGGGCTGTGACAAACTGTTTCGTCGGAGTTTCACCGACTCATCAGGAGGCTGAACCCTCAACAGTCTGTAGAATCCCCTCACTGATTACACTGTAAGTGATAATCCACCTTAACCAAAATCAAAGTAGACTATCACTCACCCACACCAGATGGAAAACTCTACAGACTGTCGGTTCACACCCCATCACAAGCCAGCAAAACACCCACGAAACAAAGAAAGGTCTGTCACAGCCAAAAAATACACTCCAGACACGCCGCTGGCACTAGAGGCACAGCATGGCCGCGTAGTGACGGCCCCGACCACTGCCGCTCGACCTGACCGGAGAAAACCGTAGCAGGAAGCTAGCGAAGTCGTAGTATATATCGTCAAATAGAACTGCCCGGTAAACCGTAGGCAGAGAGGGAGAAGAGGACAACAAACGAGGGGCTGTGACAAACTGTTTCGTCGGAGTTTCACCGACTCATCAGGAGGTTGAACCCCGACATTCTGCCCAGGATATGTGTGTGTGTGTGTATGTGCGTGTATGTGTGTGTGTGTGTGTGTGTGTGTGTGTGTGAGAGAGAGAGAGAGAGAGAGAGAGAGAGAGAGAGAGAGAGAGAGAGAGAGAGAGAGAGAGAGAGAGAGAGAGAGAGAGAGAGAGAGAGAGAGAGAGAGAGAGAGAGAGAGAGAGAGAGAGAGAGAGAGAGAGAGAGTATCAAAGCTTCTGTAAATTCATGATGAAATATGGATCATAACCTCTTCACTTGCTGACACGATATAGTGCTGGATTGGGATATTGGATGTATTTGAATTCAGGAATGGATGTGATAACAAGAATAGCTGCTGTGCCAACTTACCAGCCAGGCGAGCGGATTCGTCAGCTAAATAATTTGGCACAATTCTTTGGTGATCAGCGTGCAGCTTCAGCTAGGAGTACCTGGGGTAGACCCCTCAAGGCAGTGGTGGTGAGGAATGCAGGGGTTGTTGATGTTGGAAAGCCTGGGCTTCCTGCTATGCTCCCATGATGTGCTACGTGCTGTGACCTGCCAGATGGGCCGTGATAAACACTCTATTTCAACTTCCCCCCCCCCCCCGGTCCCCTCTAGCGTGTGCCAGCGCGGAGAATACAGTCTGTCTGAGCTGCACCTGTGACTGTAGGTGCACTACTGCTGCTGTTGCTGCTGCGAGGCGGTGGAGTCAAATATTTGCCTGGTGTAAAATACCATTGTATTCAAAGAGTGAAATACAGCTTATCCCTACTTTCCCAGATAGAGAGCAAGTATGGTTTATAAATACACATGGCAAGGCAATAGCAACCAGGTAACTGATGCCTTAGAAAAAAGCCAGCTCTTTGATCTCTTCTCACAGGCACTCACACACATACAGATAGATAGATAGATAGATAGATAGATAGATAGATAGATAGATAGATAGATAGATATAGATAGAGATAGATAGAAAGATAGATAGATAAAGAGAGAGAGAGAGAGAGAGAGAGAGAGAGAGAGAGAGAGAGAGAGAGAGAGAGAGAGAGAGAGAGAGATCTTCCACATCTGCAGATCTTGACGTTGAAGAAGCAACACGGAACACAACAGAGTTTCCCAAGGGTGCCGGAGAGAGCACTTGAAGTGAACTTATGAGGTGGAAGCTGCTCTGTTGTATGAGAGCGGTCCATGTCAACGTCCTATACCCAGATGCAACACACGGACTAATTTTTCGTTTCTCCTTTTCCATGTAAGTGGCCAAATAATCTCAGCTGTTGGTGATCTGACCAGGAATCATAGGCATGATGACTCATCTCAGTCATCTGCTTTCTCAAATCTTTGGAATTGCTTTTTCCAATACATAAATGTTGGCTTCATTTTTTTCATTTTTTTTTTTTTTTTTTTTTTTTTAACACCCCCCGGTCCCCCACAAATTTGGACCGTTTCTCGATTTATGCATGTCATCCTTGCGCAGGGCCATGCTAATTTTCTCTGTATCGTTCCAATTTTAACGGATGTTCCGAAGGACCATTTTTTTCATGTTGTTTGTTCCTGCGACTGGTTTATGGATGAGTGCTATTGGAGTAGTAGGTTTTGCTCTCAACTTAAGAGCTTATGATTTTGTTTCTCAAGAAATACGGCCAGCAGAAGACCCTGAATTTAAAGCTTTTTATACCAAAAATATATCTATCTATCTATATCCCATGGCTACGCCGGACCCGGACCCGGACCTGGACCCGGACATTTCCGGACATGGACCCGGACCCGTGTCCGGTAGTTTCCGGACGTCCGGAATTCCATACATTTCCGGAGCCCCGGGCATGGGGGGATCTGGACGGTCCAGATGTCTGGACAGGTCCGGAAATGTCCAGACCATTAAAAAAAAAAAAAAAAATCTGAAAAAAAAATATGTTATGCAGAATAACAATGCAAACCACTTTTGCCTCAGAGTCATGTCAGAATTCCTAACCAAACTTGAGTAAAAAGTCAAAAACTATAAAAAGCTTAAAAAAGGACTTTAAAAACTAATAAAACTTATAAAAGCCTATTAAAAGGTAATGAATTATTAATAATTAAAAAAATGGGGTTGTCTAATAAATTATTATAGAGAGAGAGCATCTCCGGACCCCCCAAAAAAGCATAAACGGGCCTGAAAACCCCCCAAAACAATTTCGAGGACTTGGCTCCTCAATGGGGAAGGGTCCTGGACCCTTTTGCGAGGCTATGCCCGCTTAGCCCCTACGGGCCTTATTTGCAACAAGGTCGGCCGCCCTAAGTGAAGGCAGGCACGACAGGCCCTCAGGGCCTCGTTTTCAGGGTACCCCCGCAAATGGGGAAATTCAGGCAGTTGCACTGCATCAGTTGGTTGAATGAACTCAGGCCCTGGGCCGCCCGTGTGAATGAATGTAAAGCAGGCCCTGGGCTGGGTACGGGTACCGGGCCAAGCACAGGCC